GGACTGGCTCAAACCTTTGACTTTTTACTCCAGGGTGATCTGTAGTATTTATTTCCTTACAGAAAAGAATGCATATATGTTACATTATAACGCATTCTTAAAATTTTATTTCTCTTTTGTAAAATAGGTTCTTCTTAGACCTACTGTTTGTATTCTCTTAGCTCTCATAAAACCAAGAGACTGATTCATTTTTTAAAAAAATTTTTATGTATTTAGCACAGGGTCTACAGGGTCTCAGTATGCAGCTCAGACTCATAGTGATCCTCCTGTTTTCAACCTCTCACGCACTGGGTTTAAAAGTGCACGCCACCACGCCCAGTCTCAATCACCTTCTCAGTGCACCCCAGGGGCAGGGTCTGCACGGCACACCAGGGATTGAATCCTGATCCCTGAGTCTGCTTCAGCAGGCACTTTAATCTGCTGAGCTATCTAGTTGGCCCTGATCCATCTTTAAAACTTCATATGCAGTCGTCACTATTGAACTTAGTTCTCATTAAAATTATTTTCTCATTAAAAGAATGTTAAGTCTAATCTTTTTAAAAGGCCATATTGTCTTTAGCAAAGAGGACAGCTACACATACACAGTTCACTTTAGCATCTTTCATTAGCATATTTGCGTGCCTAAGGATTATGTTCATTGCGAGGACTTGGTACATGTGCGTAACACATCTCAGTTCTTATTTTTCACCCCCTTCCATTCTTTCCTCTCCATATCCTAGATTTTTTATTTAAGATGCCTTGTCAGTGTTTTCTCTCATGTTTATTTATACCCTCTGGTAACTTTCAGGGACAAATTCTTCCTAAATTTTAGGCTTTTCCTCAAAAAAAGGACATAAGGCATCTAAGATCAATAAGTCCCTTTAGCCCTTACTTTTTGCTCTGGTACACTGAATTTTACTGTGTATCCAACCTATATCTTCTTCAGGTTCCTTACTAAATACTGAGAAGAAGGTATTTTAGGATACAAATTTATTTTACCCTAAAATTTAAAGGTCATGGTTAGATAAATGTCACAGAAACCCATACTACTGAACTCAAACAAACATTCATAAATTTCATCAAAATTGCACTAGAAGTTTTTAGACTCTTTATTTTCTTTCCTGTTGTGGTTACCAAAGGTTAAGATACATGTAGAACAAAAGTCTGTTTAACTTTCTGCCTGATTTACCTAATGCCTCTACCAAATACCGAATAAACTTTTCCTTTTTTTAAAAAATGTATTTGGTACCTACACCGCTCAGATGTGTAGTGTTCCTCCTGTCTCCACCCACCCAGTGCTGGGATTACAGGCATGCACCACCACATCTGGTTTTGGTGGCTGGCTCAGCGCACTTGGGGGCAGGGCCAGCGCAGCGTGTGGTGCCAGAGATTGAACCCTGCTCCCTGAGCTTGCCTAAACAGGCGCTTAATCTGCTGAGCTATCTCGCTGGCCCAAATAAACTTTTCTTGCTGATGATTTTGTCTGAAATTTAGGAAAGAACAGAGGCATCGATATTAGCTTCTGCTGCTTCAAAACAAATCTAAAGTAATTTTAAAACATGACAACATCGGGGCTGGTGAGATGGCTCAGTGGTCTAAAGCACCTACTTAGAACAAGCTAAGCAAATCAGAGGGACCACGGTTCAATCCCCCAGCGCCACATGCCAGCCAGCCCCGCCCCCTGGTGGGCTGAGCTGGCCACACACACACACACACACACACACACACACAAATAAATAAAAAAAAAAATAAAAAAAAAACATGACAACATCTTGCTCACAAATGTTTGTGTAGATGGATAAAAATGAAATGCCAGAAAATTATACTAGGTAATTAGAGGAATAGAAGTAAAATAGAAAAGTGCTCTGTGATTTTAGTGTGTGGTTATGCATTGTAGCTGTAGAGAGCTAAGAGAGACATAGAAATCTGCAGAGCTGAGCTGCTCTGTGAGGAAGCTGTGATCAGCAGAGCCCAAGTGGCTACCCTGAGTCAGTCGGTGAGCGGCAGTGCTAGCACCACCGCGCTGTGTCTTCCGCCTGCCCCTGCCCTAGGTCTACCACACCACGCCGTGTCTACCTGCGTGTGCGTGCCTCTGCGTGTAGCTAGGGCTTTCTAAATATGCCAGCTTCATGGTGTAGCCATTTTACTCATGGCCGTATCCAGACTCCATACTGCTTATGTCCACCCTAAGACATGCACTGGATCATTCATGGCAGCATTGTTCTTAAGAGGTGAAAATCTGTTGGAAGGAAGGAGAAAACAAGATAAACACCCACTTTCAATTAGTAATCAAATGCACAAGTTATTATATATTTCATGGAAAGGAATGTTATATACCAGTTAAAGAACTATGTATTCATAGAGCAATGTGTACATATCCCCAAAAGCACATTTTTGAACAAAGGTAGCAAGGCATGAATTGTGAAAGGAACTTTTGTTGTGTGTCCATAGGCTCCTTAAGGGTAGAGACCACTTCTGTGCCCCTGTAGTTCTCCAGCACCCTTGCATTATCCAGCATAGAACAGGTGCTCGGTATTTATTTTAGTGAAGAAGATGGGATAAGAAAAAGGCAGGAAAGAACCATCCAGTACTTTTTTTTAGCTGAGAAAAATATCAAGAAATATAGGGCACAATGCCTTAATGTTCAGATATTTATATTAGAACACAGCATATGGATGCCTGAAATATCAATGTAGTATTAATTATAGTTGACACTTGGCTAGGTATAGACATGACAAGACCATGGTAATAGCTGAGAACATTTCAAAACAAGTACAGCTAATAGAGCCTCTGGCTTAACCCCAGAATTCATCTAAACGTGGTATCAAGTATGTAGTGCTTTTTTCTGTTCTTATTTTTGGACAGTGAATCTTTTTTTGTACTGGGACTCAAACTCATTACCTTGTGCTTGCCAGGCAGGGACTTGTGCTACTGAACTATATATCCCTGGCCCTGTTCATATTTTTGGCCTCAATAAAAGGGATGTCTTCTCAACCCTTTCCCCCATTTCCTACTGAGCAGAACAGGAGTATGCACTGGATGCATCAGATTCTAGTATACTGGTTAGATTGCTGCTTTGCATGCTTTGTGGGTGTAACATCATGGAAGAAGGCATTCTCTGACTTCTTTCCTCTGGCATTGCTGGGTGACTGGCCTTTCATGTGATAAAACTAATGAGTTTAGAATGAGGAAAGTGAAGTCGCTCTCTTCACTATGCTCTGCTTCTTGACTGTTCTTAGCCTATGTAGGAAACAAGACTATCCCGACATGGCTCCATGCTCATTAGAGCTTTACATTGAAGTTGGGGCTTCCCCCACGATACCAGGAGAGGCCTTTGATTCCTTTGGGCATTTGATTCTCTTGGGAACTGCCTAGAAGGTGGAATAGGCAGATTAGGGAGGATTTCTAAATTCCGGATCTCCTGGCCAAATGCTTTGGGCCACCCTTTCATAGCAGCTCGTCCCTTCATGCCTAGATACACATCAAAAGTGTCTTCCAACCTCTTTCTCTGGTTGTCAGAACTCTACACCTTGAGGAGGTGTTATTCTGCCTATTATTCTTGAAAGTCTATCCCATGGAGAAATTCCTTGCTTTTTAAAAGAGGAAATGTTCATGTCTGAGAAAAATGTGTCCTGTTAATTGTGGACCAGACAGGCCACCCAAATTGGAGTCCACAGGGAGCTATGGGAACAAATTGTCAGTCAGTTGGCAGTCATCTGTAGAAACACCAGGCTACTGGGCTGCAGTTAACACAGCTTTGTGAGGAACCTGGTTGTGCAGAAAGGGAGTTAATTCTTTAATTTGTTGTTAAATATTGACTGGCAGGATTTCCGTTCTCCTGTAGGGCTGTCTTACCAACAGTGTAAGAAGGCATGCTCTGGACAATTGAAATGGGTGGGAAAAAATCTTGGGCAATGTTATTTCACATGAAGGCATTTTTTTTATGAAGTGCTGAGGGTGTAATGCTGAGACCAGAAAATCTCTGTGCTTCAAGAGATTACCTTTTAAATTACCACCTGTATTACCTTTTAAAATTTTATTCTTTTTCATCTTATTTTTCTAGGAGATTAAACTATGTGCTCAATGTTTTCCCATTATTGTAGTATCTAGCTAAATTATATGTAGCTTGTTATCATTGAAGCTTTCCGGAAATGTTTCATTTTACCTCAGGGAAAAGAAAAAGCTAATGTTCTTTCCTTTTCTGCTGATCATATCAGCCCAGTACACATGGTTTGACCCCTCTGCTCTTGCTCTGCACTGGGGCTTTCCAAATCCGCTAAATTAGCTTGTCAGCAAGACTAGAATTTCATGTCTCACCCTATTATGATATGAAATTTGAGCACATAGGAAAGTAACTGATGCAATAACATGGCGAAAACATATTGAGAGTTTCTACCGACTTTACTGTGAGACTCCTGAGCACACACAGAAGCAGGAATTTATTTGGAAGTAGGGGCACTAATGTTTTATGGTTTCATTCTTAATCATCTTGATCATTTTTACCAAACCTGACAGTTGCTACTTTGGTGTTCAGTTGCAGTTTGCGTAGCAAATACCCAGTCCTTATTGGATTTAGGGTATTCAGCCAAATACCTAAATACCCTTTTGCTTACTCTCTGTAAAGTTCCTCAGTGAACTGAAATAGATCTGCATTTGATGCTAACAACTGTTACAATTAGACATCTTAGAATTTATTTTTTTAAAAAAAGCTTTTAAGCCTTTTTAGCCTTGGGATTTGAACCCAGGGCCTTGTGCTTCGTAGGCAGACACACTACCCCTGAGCGACATCCTCAACCCGAGGTGTTGCTTTTTCTTGATTTAATACCTGCCTATAACATAAATGCAATGAATTCGTAGGATTTGAAGAAAAAAACATCTCTTATGCAAACAAAACAAATGCCACGTGCAGACTTGAAAGTGGTAATTATAAATTTGAGATAAAGACATGTTGAAACTAAATCTCATTGGATCTTGGAGAACTATCTTAGCTTCTCGCGATCGCCTGTCGGTTGCTTCTGCAGTTTAACTCCGCCGCCAAGCAGCTGATAGAATGGGATAAGCCTCCCGGGCCGGGAGTGGATGCTGGAGAGTGTGCCTCTGCGGCAGCCCAGAGCAGCTCTGCCCCAAAGCACTCCGACACCAAGAAGAACACCAAAAAGCGGCACTCCTTCACTTCGCTCACCATGGCCAACAAGTCCTCCCACGCCTCCCAGAACCGCCACTCCATGGAGATCAGCCCGCCCGTCCTCATCAGCTCCAGCAACCCCACGGCCGCCGCCCGCATCAGTGAGCTGTCCGGGCTGTCTTGCAGCGCTCCTTCTCAGGTAGGCCCAGCCAACCCGGGACGGACTCCGCCAGAAGGCAGCTACTCACCAGGGTTTGCCCTCTAACGGATAGATGGTTCGTTTTGAACATTAGAAGGTCGTAGCTTTCCCGGGGCCTTTCTTCATTTTGTGAGAGAAATAGAGAATGGAAAGCTAGCCTGAGTGTTTCAGCATACAAGTAATTACTCAGTCATTGTCAGAGGAGAGATCTGAACTTACAAGATGAGTTAAATAACATTAGTTTCACTAAGCAATCACCCAGTTTTATAAAACCTTCTTATAGTGTTAATTCAGAAGGTCTTGCCTACAGAAATCTTACCTCTGCCCTAACTTGGATGGTCTGGTTGAAACTGGTAATGTGCAGCTTCTTGCATTTATATAGCTCAGTTTTATTATTTTCTTACAGAGAAAGGATGGAAAGAAACATTTCATTTAAATTACCAGTTGGCCTTGCTTTTCTTTATTTGAGACAGGGTCTCACTAAATTGCACAGGATGGACTCAAACTTCCTATTCTCCTGCCTTAGCTTCCTAAACTGCAAGATTATAGGTCTGTGCCACTCCACCCCCAGCTTGATCTTTTCAAAAAACTGACAAGTTCTTAAAGACTTTGGACCATCTTTAAAGGTAGCTGCACATTACCCCATGCCAGTAAAAATACATGAGATGATTACGAACATTGAGTCGTGTGGCATACACTTACCGAGCACTTTTACTATTAGACCCTTCCAGGCGGGGTGTGTATCAAAATATCTGAGATGTAGGACTTAATACAAGCCTACCAAAGACGGCTAGTTGTGTTCTGGCTCAAGTCGCGGGACCACTGTCATTATCCCATCAGACGCCAGCAGTGTTTCCCTCAACTTAGAGGTCACAGCCTGGTCCGAAACAACCTGCCCCAGCAAGAGAAACTTCTCCCTAGTCATGTGTCCTTTTTTTAAAAAAGCACTCAGATTTTACATTTACTTCATACTATAGCTTTGAGGTGTCTTCTTCTTCTTTTTTTTTTTTTAATGCAGTTATTACAGTGTGTACAGGGTATCACTACGCAAATGGGACTCATAGTGATCCTCCTGTTTTCAGCCTCCCAAGTGCTGGAATTACAGGTGTGTGCCACCACACCTAGTCTCAGTCACCATCTCAGCATGCCCTGGGGCTGGCATGGTAGGCCGGGGATTGAACCCCCGGCTCCTGCTTCTGCCTAAGCAAATGCTTTAATCTGCCAAACTATCTGGCTGACCCTAGCTTTGGGGTTTCTTTTTTCTTTAAAAATGGAATTATTTCTCTTATTCCTTTCTTGCCCCTTAAACAAAGTGAAGGAAACATAGTCTTGGTCCTCAAGAAGTTTATGGTTATATTGGATCACAGAGTAAACATTTACAATATAGCTCTTGATATTCCTTGAAGACTTCCATAATTTATTTTTTGGGGTGTATTTGAAGCTATTCCTTGGATTCATACTAGGAGTGAATGTTAGAAGTTAAATACATTCACTTTCTGAATGGGTTGTGGTTGATGTATTATTTTCTAGATGTTAAGTCCACAGAACTTTTAATTTTTCTGAGGGAAATCACACACACACACACACACACACACACACACACACACACAAATGCAGTAAGGATAAGAGTCTGTTTTATTCATTGATAGCATCCCATAGTGAGCACTCAGTAAAGACTTGTTGAATGAATGAATCCATTGAAAACTGGGTGGAGGAGATCCACTTATTTTCCTTGTATTCATCCCTATGTAAAACATAGTCATGAACTGTAGATCAGAGCTCAAAATACTGAGTGAGATGACCCTGTAAAATTCAGAATGGAAGAGTTTCTATCAAGGTCCTGAAGGACCAGGCTAATAAAGACAGCCAATCACTACGAGAACTGGTCACTTTTTCTCTGGTGACCTAGCAACGTTGCATAGTGAGGTTTTCTTGACATTTGAGACAAGTGTCTGCTGAGCCTAGTAACAGGGTAGAATAGCAAGAGCTTTGAAAATTACTCTTTTGGCAATAGAATGAGAAGAGAAGGGAGGATAAACTGAGGGTGTGCATCCTGTGCAGAGGAGTCTGCAGTCAGGTGCGAGCATGCCTACTGCTGCCGCACCGGAGCTGGGAATGAAGACTGTAAAGCAGAGTCACTTTTGTTTGGGTTTGAGTAGCTTAGGAAACAAGGCTCTTCTGTGTTCCATGAAAACAGTTTCCCTTTGCCCAATTGCCCCTCCTCCTGTATTCCTGTTTTCAGGCGTGGCGTTTTGCCTCAGGGAGAAGTTATTTCTAGAAGAGGATGGGAGGTGTTTGAAGTGCTGCCTGATTTCTCCACCTAGGTTTCCAGAAAACACCACTTATCTGAGGCACTGTGTACATGGGAGTGAGCCGCAGCCCCCAGGAAAGCCCCGAGTTCCTGTAGCCTGCGTGATGTGTTGTCTGTTAGCCATGGAGATTGGTGTAGGTGGGAGGGTGGCCACGGGAGCGGCCTTTCTGGATGCTCAGCCTGTGCTCAGAGTGAACAGAGGCCCTGTAAGTGCCTCTTGGCATTGGCCTGATGTCTGTCATTATTTTCTCCTACTCATCCTCTTTCTTCTCAGTTTTCTTTCCTCTTACTCTTTTTTCCTCTTTGTATGTTAATTGGGATTAGGCTTGATCACACTTATTAGCAAATCAGAAGGAAGAGGCCTAAAGAACTTTAGAATTTGACTTTCTCTTATCTGAACAAACCCTAGATAGAAGGAATCTGGTGCTGGTGTGGGACTTCTCAGGATTCACTTTCCAGCTCGCCTTTCCTCATGGAGAAAGTCATGTCCTCATGTTTCCAAGTGGCAGTGAGACATCTTACTGTCACACGCAGGTGTCAGGAGCAGAAGTGGGCAGAAGGGGCTGAGGGCTTGCTTGCCATTGTATTAGCTGACTGTGCAGTGGTGACCGCAGTGCTGGCTGGGTGCCTGCAGTTGTATGTGGATGTCCCTGGCTGATCGCTATAAAAGCAATGATGGTGCGTGCAGCTGTGGCATTTTTTGTGCTCTTCTGACCATATCTATGGTATTTCTTGGTTCCTGCCAACTGGAAGAGTGCTTCATGACATCGAGTGTTTCTGTATTGGTTTTGTCTTTCCACTGGCCACAAGGGCAGCAAGAAGTCCCCTGCAGCCAGTCCCTTTCTTATGGAAGAGACTGAACTATGCATTGCAGTTCCATGACAAGGGACAAGCACCGCAGAACGTAGGCTGTCTCTTCAGGGATTGATTCTGGACACGCTCATCATCGCTGGCTTGGTCTGTTCCTTGGCTCCCCTGCTAGGAGTAGCCCTGCGTTAAAGTGGTACTTGTGAAGTTCTTGGTGTTTTGTGTTCCCTTCCTTATCTGCAGGGGCAGAGACCTTAGGGAGCCTCTGGTCCAGAGAAGGAAAGTGATTTATCCCAGGACCATGCAGTTACTGGCAGTTATTTGTTCCGACCCCCACTCTGGAGCCTTTAGAAAAATGTCAGTCATTAATTAATTTCTCAGATATTTCTAGGGTCAGTCCCAGCAGACTGTGGTTTCTTGTTTGGTTGGTTGTTTTTACTGTTGATGATGTTTTTGCTCCAGAGGTTCTTTGATATTGATACGGTGTTGAGATGAACGTTGTTGTGCTTGTGAGAAAGCTACCCCTTTTGTGTGGTGCCAGACTTCATGTGTCTTTGGAATGGAACTATGAAAAGATGTAGGGGGGTGAAATCCCCAAAGGCCTTATTCTAGAATGGAAAACTGGTATGCTTTGTATGAGGAAGTGTCTTAGTTACTTTCTTGTCACTGAGACAATACCAGACCCCCACAACTCCAAGGAGGGAAGGTTTATTGGATCATAATTTGTAGAGGTTTCAGTCCATAGTTGGCTGGCTGCATGGCAGGGCAGGATGGTGGCATTGTGGCAGGGCGTGGCAAAGGAGGACTGCTCAAGGCACAGTGGCAGGGAGCAGGGACATGCAGGGCGAGAAGGGAGACAGTCACTTCCAGGCCGTGCGCCCAGGCCCCTCCCCCTTCAGCCAGGCTTCCGCCTCCCAGCACCCCATCACTGGGACCGGCAGTGGGCCACTCTGCTGGTGAGTACCATGCCCTGTGGTCTCCTCCAGAGACCTTGCCTTTGAGTTAGTTCACGAGGTCTTGCAGAGTCATCTAGAAATAAAGCATAACAGAAAGACTTGAAAAGTGGGGTACAGGTCATAGGCCAGTCAGCAGATGAGAACTTGAGGAGAAGCTCTGTACTCGTGGCCCCTCTGAATCTGCTTAGGCTCATGTGTTAGCATTAATTAATGCACGGACTCAAAAGATTGTGGGCTCCTTGTGTGACTCAGATTTATTTGTGAAAATAATTTGTGTGTCTTAATGAGGGTAATCCTTGACCTTGGTGGGGCTTAACCTAGTGGGAAACTGAGTTTCCTTAGATGCCTCAAGGAACTAATCTCTGAACTTTTCCTTGTCTTGATAATCTCTTTCTTAATTTATGGCAACTGAATAAACTATGTTTGGGACTATACTTTTACTATAAGCCTAGGATTTTTGGTCTATCCTTATTTCCTTGGAGAAATAAAGCAGCAGCCAACCACCTAGCTTCTGTGCATTTTAGAAGAAAGCCAGTGTTTGCTCAGGACCCCATCCTTATTTCTGCAGCATCGTGGAACACCACTGCATTCTGCAGCTGGGCCTGACCTGCAGCCTGAGTGAAATTGATTGAGTAATTGAACACAGGCAATGAAATGACCTGAATAACTCAATTTCTTTCTAGTAAATTAATCTTGCGCAGTATCATGGATAAGACACCTTTGAAAACAATTAATTTGGCTTGACATTGTTCCTTTAAAGGTTTTATAAATAATTGCCTGCTCTACGGCATGTCCAGGCAGGTACATTTTAATTATGCATCCCCACTGAACAGTAGAAGTCATGAAAAATCGTCTTGAAAATAGCGGACTGCCTTGAGAATTCTGCGTAGAGTTAGCATATTGATAGACAGGTGGTTGTTCAGCCATAGCTCACCTTAACGGGGTCTTTAGCACAATTACTGGAAGGCTGATAGAGCCCAAGGCTGACCGCTGAAGGGTCAGTGATACATGGTGGCATGAACGTGAGGCAGCATGTTGTTATGACGCCAACAGCAGCTGAATGCTGTAACATGTTGTAGTGACCAGCATTTGTCACATGGCTGCCCAATATCCAGCCAAGTGCCTGATACACGGTAGGTAGGCAGTAAATTTGGGGTGAGTAAACTGAAAGGGGTTCTGACTTCTCAAAATAAAAGAAGGTACACATTTTTATTCAATGCCACTTGCTGCCAGTATGATCTGCGGAACTGAACATGGTCTTCTTTTTAGCAACTCCTTTTTGTTGTTGTTCCTGGCAGGTTCACATAAGTACCACCGGTCTCATCGTGACTCCACCCCCAAGCAGCCCAGTGACAACAGGCCCCATGTTCACCTTCCCGTCAGACGTTCCCTACCAAGCTGCCCTTGGAGTGAGTATATCATTTTTCTGTCTCTGTTTCTCTTTTAGGGACATAGTCATGTCAGCCTGGCACGTGCCTCCCGCTGTCATCGGTGGCTTTCATCCTTTGCTCCGCTAATCTTAGGAAAAGTTAGACGTTCTCTTGCCTGCAGCCTGCACCTTTTTTTAACAATGAGAGTCAACTTCAGTGGTCTGATGCTGTTAGAAGAACTCTGAAAAAAGTGCATTTAAATTTTATTGCAGTTCAGCCTGGTTTCCTGCGGGTTTAGCCTTTTATTTCTTTGGAGTTTCTAGATCCTGCTTATTTCTTTTAAAGATACATTTATAGAAATACTGAGAAAAATGGATCTCAAAGGCTAAATGGTTTGCTTTTACATGATAAATTTATAAAAGTCTCTACATGTAGGATTCATTGTTTAGTTCCTCATCTTCTCTTGGTGTAGTGCATAGCTGTGGTACTTGTAGTCTTGATTTTATTTTTTTTCCTTTTAAAAACATACCATCCTACAGGTAAGGTCTAATCACTAATTGCTTAAAAGCATCCAAATGGGAGAAATTAATGGGGACAATTAGAATAGATACAAAGAAGAGGAACATGGTAGAAAAAAAAGTAAAAGTGAAGAAACAAGCAAATGCAGCTTTAGATAGTAGAGAAAAACCATAATCTGTACTTCCTAAATTGTGGGCAGTTGAGCTACAAGGACCTCGCAGTTGTTTGACATCTCTCATCGAGACTAATGCTTTGGCTCTTACTTTGAGACTGTTTGTTCCAGCACTGAGTTGAATAAGGGCAGAAAATATCATTAAATCAGGTTGCCCCATACCAGGACCATGGCGTGACCCTGACCCAGCACACTCGAGTAACTGGTGGTGATGCTCTTAGAGAGATGGTAAAGCTTCATGGTCAGACAGATTTGGGATGAAACGTATCTGGACTTGAAGTCCAGCTCCACCACTTGTTACTTAACCTTGGAAAAGTTCCTCAGCTTCTTTAAGCCTCAGTGTCCTTCTGGTAAAATGAAATTGCTGGTATCTGTGTCAGAGAGTGAGAACATAAGAGGGACAGCTATGTACTGATCTTGTTATTGGCCTCTAGTTTGGGCTGTTACAAGGGAAATCTGTGACCTGTGCCACTGTTTGCCCTGAGAGTGCTTTGGAAGACCTCGTTCCCTTTGTTATAGTGTTCTTTGCTCTCTGCTTCAGTAATAGTGGGGCCTCCACGCAGCTGGTTTGTTTTCAGGTTGTGGACTTGCATTATGTTGTAAAGATTATCTTTCTTATGCTAGACTGCGGAGAGCCAAATATGTAATCCATCTAATGAGGACCTCACAGTGTATTGGTCAAAATGTTGGCTCCGTCTAGTTTTAGTGCCTTTGTTTTCCATTGGCTTCATCTTTCTTACTTTATGTTTATTGCATTTGATAACATTTTATAAATAATCAAAAACTGATTTTGAAACAAGGCGGGGTGTAACTAAATGCAGAGTTGTTACCTAACTTGACTTTTGAAAACCTTTTATAGAGTTAAGCATATTCTTTAAATGGAAGTTAATAATATTCTAGCTAGAGGTTAAAGTCCCCCTTTTTTTCAATGTTCCCTGAACAGTTATGGTCTCCTTGATAGTGCAGGAGTGAAGGAGATGTTGCCTAATTCACCTGGAGAAAGATGAAGTTAGTTAATATTTATTAAATTTGGTTTCCATGCGATCCTATTATCCCAGGATGCTTGACCAGAGCCAAATTTCATAACCATCCTGCCTCTTACTCTCCAGGGGAGACTCTCCCCTTTCCTTCCCACTCCCAGTAACGCACACAACCAGTTGGTATTTCCATTTCCAGATGACAACCTTGTGTGGAAAAATTCTAACTTGATTTCTTAAGGGGGGAAAAAAGACTTTTCTGATCCTAGAAAAATTAATTAGTGGAAAAGACTTAAGGCTGGCTGCATTTCAGCACTTACGAGCTGAACATTTTACAATATAGTAAATGACCAGTACCTCTTAGCTAGGGGCTTACTGTAGAGCAAGTCAATGGAACAGGTCACAAGAGAGGGTGAATATATAAACATTTGACCACTTTATCCTAGGATTATATAAGAAAGCCTGCATGTTAAACAAGAGAAAGATTTATTAAACAGTATGTTGACTATGCCAACTCCATTAAATGAAAAATTAATTATAAACAGACTTGCCTGTCATCTCTAGAGATGTCTGGATCTCAGAGTTCCTAGTGGCTTGGCAGAAAAGTTTAGATTTAACGTGCCAGGTTTCAGTAGAGAAATTTCAAGATTATGTGTATTCAGCATCTTACATTAATTGTGGCAAATATTCTATTTAGAATTTGAAATACTTCTGCAGTCTTTGAATACTATCACAGGCAATGTATGCAGGTTAGAAGAAAAGAAAGCAGGCATTTTCAGGATGTGAACCGATAGGTAGTAAGTGCCACCACTAGCATAGGAAATGAAAATTATTTCAAGTGCTTTTTTCATAAATTGAGACTTTTTAATCTGTTTGGAGTTTGAAATTATGAGCATATGTTCCCATCCGTTTCGTATATAACAGCATCATGAGCAAAGCTGGCCACACACCTATCCAGAGCAGACTTTAAGCCATAAATGTTCTTTTTGGGTTTTTTTAACTGATTTTTGTGGGATGAAGAGAGCAAAGATCTTAGTTTTGTGTTTTCTGTACATGGGAAAAGAATTTCTTAAATAAGTGACTAATAATTCTCAGTCCTCTGTGCCAGCTGAGAGGTGATTAATGTTAAAGTGTCACAGGTAGCCAAGGTTAATGAAGGCCACACATCTCCCATGGCCAATTTGCAACCAGATTGAATTCCCAAACATGCATCCCTAATTAAAAGTTTTATATACGCATGACTGGTATGCTATATAATGTTAAGTATTTCTGAAGACTTTGAGTATTAATTGTAGCAATAGAGTGCAAATTGGAAAATTGAGGCTTTTTATGGTGTAGATTTATAGGAATAAACACCATCACATATGCATTGTGTGTGTGTGTGTGTGTGTGTGTGTGTGTGTATTTAAAGAAACAACACACATGCTGTTACGTGATATCAGGTCTGAGGATAGCCAGTATGTGACAGTCTGTTATAGCTTCTTGTGGTAAAGATTGCACAGAACTCTGCAAGCAGGCGCAGGGCCTGGGGGTTTGATCCCTGGCCTGCTGTAGTGGCCCCACCCCCAGGGCATGCTGAGATGGCATTTGAGACTGGGCATGGTGGCACACGCCTATAATCCCAGTTTTTGAGAGGCTGTAAACAGGCGGCTCACTGAGTCTGAGCTAGTAGTGAGACCCTGGACACCCGGTAGACCCTTCCCTAAAATACAAAAAAAAAAAAAAAAAAAAAAAGATTGCACAGAACCTATTGCTGTCATCAGAGTAAGGGGAGGACTGTGACAGTAGGTGAGTGGGACCCTAAACCTTGGTGGTTTGGGAAATAAAATTAGGATCCTGAAAATTGGCAGTGTTGGGAAAGTCAAGGTGAGGGGTAGGATATGGTCAATACTTTCATACCAGCAACAGGAAAAGACTCTAGCATCCCAGGAATAAAAACGTTTTGATCAGATTGTTCTAAGAAGGGGTTAAAACACTAAATGTTTTCTCATTCATGAAACACTCCTTGAGAGTCTCTTATCTTCTGGCTACAAACCTAGATGCTGCAATAGGACGAAGTAAAATAGTCTTTGACTTCAGTCTTATGAATCATAATGGTAGCTTCTACTTTCTTGAACTTTTGCTGTGCTCCAGGGAAATGGAAAAGGCAGTTTACATTAACTATTTTGTGATTATTAACTCCATCTTGCAGACTGGTGTAGTATGGCATAGTGACCTTGTAAGATTAACACAATGAACTAGTATAGAAATCTCGTTTCTATGTAGATTAAATGTGCAACAATAAATGATGTGTAGATGGGAACGCTGTTGAGTTGGTAACACTGTTGACTTGAGGGGGTATCTTCAAGCAGGAGCTTGAACTGTTCCCTCACCCTTCTGTTCTGAGTATCCTTGAGTCAGAAAAAAACATTTAGAGGTGTTGCTGCACAGGGTTGAAAGGGGTTGATTGGAAATTAGATGTTTAGAAAGAAACTATGGTGGGCTTAGGGGATATTAAGCGGTGTTTGCCCAAGGGACCTATTTTCTACCCTGTATGATATATAAGGCAGATATACACATTAGAGACAGTTGGAAAGGAAGTGAACTTTTTCTTGTCAGTTGAACTTGTTCCTGAAACCTCATTTCAGAGCACTGTGCTGATAGCTGACCTGCAGCCCTTGGCGCAGACTTGAGACTATGGGAGGTTCCTCCATCCTTAGCCAAATGCAGATATAACCACTCACTGGGCAAAGCACGTTAAAGGGCGAGAGGAGGAGGGGTGTGAGAAAGGAGGGGCTTTATACCCACATACTTGAACTTCTCACTCACCATGACACCTAGCAAATGTGGCCTTCCCTGGGAAGTCGCGCTAGCAACATAGGAACGTTGTGGACTGTCTCAGGAACTGGACCAGAGCGGGAAGTTGTGTCTTTTCAAACTATAGAGGCCAAGCTGCTTCATAAGGTAGATCTGTCTCTTCTTTTTTCACCAGTGGGTTAAGACTGGGACATGGTGAAAGATGGCCATTTCACATGCGCAGCCCACTCCTAAACAAATAGTGAACAAAGTTCCCAGCAGATCCATAGATCTTTTTTGCAGATAGGAGAAGCTGCTTCTTGGCCCCTGATGTCCATGCTGGCCCAGCCTGTGCAGCAGTAGGAGGGTCTTCAGTTCAGCTCTAGGCAAGGGAAAGCCTGTGGTTTGCTCTGTAGAAACTTAAGGTCTCACAGGATAGCAGACGCCCTCAGGCTCAGCATGCAGCGATTTACCTTTTGAACTTCCACATCACCAGATTATGTCAGTTTGGGTTGTTTATAAAGCAGCCCACAGAACTTTCTAGTGTGGTGCAGCCCTGTCATTTCATCAACCCTGCAGGACTGACTGGCATCTAGGAATCGGATTTTCATCAGGCTTTCTCCCTTAGTCTTATGCATACTTACTCAGTATTAGGAAAAATCTGCCCAATTTTATTAAAACATTTCTTCTGTTTTATCCACAAAAAGAGAGGGAAGACTGTATATTTCTTATAGATAATCTTCAGGATTTTTCAGAGTATCTGTTCTATACCATATTTCAATGTCTGATCTTTATTCTTTGCAAAAGTAATGTACACAAAGCATTTGCTTTCTGCATTTTGTGACTACTAAGAAGTAACGTTTCTTTACATTTTCCCTTTTTTCTTCATAAGGCTGATTTGATTCAGCCTCTCTTAGTGAAGTTAAGATACAACAGCAATCTTAATTTCCTTGCGGAACGCCTGCCATTCATCTTCTGCATTTCCACAGCCACCCTGTTTTGAGATTGAAGAGAAAAAGATTTGAATGGAAACCAGCAAGGTGGTCACTTTGCAGTTTCTTCATGGATTGTTGCGCATAGTATAGACTTGTTATCTCACCTGTCAGGCCACTGATGCATCCTCATCTCTAAGCCCGTGCGGTCACATGACTGAGTGTTTCACCATAGGTATCTTTATTCCTCTCTACTTGGACACTGCAAGAAGACCAAACAGAATGCATGCTTGACCTTCAGCTGGTTAAGGTTTGCAGGGGCGGTGAGTCCCAGGCATGCAAATTCTAGAGCCTCGAGGAATCTGAATGCTGCCCTGTTTTGGATGGAGAATGTGAGTGGCTTTTCCGTGGCATTTGAATTTTCTGGACCGGCCTCTGCCTTGTCCAGGTTAGCACTTTGTGCTGCTCTGTGCCTTGTTTATTTCTTCATTAAATGTTCTGGTGCAGAGTAGGGAAAATCCTCACCCACAGTCGTGTTAGCAAATAGTTCATTGCAATGTGGAACAGTTACAATATATGTACAGAGATTTGAATTTCTTTACTGTGTTGTGTTTCTGGAACCCTGTACATTCACAGAGAGATGAAGTTCCTGTTGAGATCCAAAATTTTATTCCAAAAAATGGGAATAAAATGATTTGTGAGCTGTGTTTATAAACCATTGAATTTTTCTCGCTAATATGCTGATGTGTGGAAGTCATTTATGTTTCTTAGGTACATTCTTTAGTCTCCTTATTTTCTCTTTGATTCAGTTTTTACATCTAGTGCTTCAAAGATTTGGGAAGGGCGAGGTAGGGGTTCAGGCAGTCTTTGTGTGCCTCTTTTCCCAGGAGTTTCAGTATATGGGCCCCTAAGAATTATCTGGGGTTTATAGATCAGAAAGCAACAATTGCTCCATTGATTTTCAAAAGGCATGGAGTCCTGTAGGCAGAGCCCTATTAGGCTGCGCCCATAAAGGACCCAGCAGCTTTTCACTGGTGTACTTGTTAAAGATTACCAGCCTTGATAGTTCTAAATTTCAAAAGCTGGCAGAGTTAAGAAAAGAATAAGCAAAAGTAACAACAATAGCCCAGTGACTGTGGCTTGCTATTGTTTGAGCTTTTTGGAACCCCGGCATCAAAAGAAATTTTCTTCCAAAGGAATGATTTAAGATGTGGTGCAGCTAAATTGTTTTGTGTTGTGTTTAAGTTTCAGGTTACAAGAACAATTACAAATAGATTCCTAGCAAACAGCATGACATTATAGTGTCCTCTTCAAAAGGCATTTGGATTCTCTTCTCAGTCTCTACTTAAAAGTGCTATTAATCCTAAAATTATGTGCGATCGTTTCATATTTTTTCCTTCTCCTTCCCAGGTTGATTGCTTACCTGTTTATGGAAAGGTTGCTGTGGCTTTGCAATGTGTGTTAAAGGGGCCTTGTATAGAAGGTGGCCTGCTGGTTCTGCTCTGTGCGGGTTCCATTAAGATCTGGTTCTATGAATTTCTGACTCCTTTCCCTCCCACCTTTTACAAAAGATCTAAATAAATATTTTGTTGCTCCCCCCTCCCTTACCTTTTTTCTATACCAGACTATGAATCCTCCTCTCCCCCCACCTCCTCTCCTGGCTGCCACTGTCCTCACCTCCACACCGCCAGGCGCTACCGCCGCCACCGCCGCTGCCGCCACTGCTGCTACTGGAATGGGACCGAGGCCCATGGCGGGATCCGCTGACCAGATTGCACATTTACGGCCTCAGGCTCGCCCGAGTGTGTAAGTGAGGGTGTTGCTTATTCCTGCTTATGCATTCGTTTAGAAGGGAGTCAGACGGCGGAGCGAGAGCAACACTGTTGTGATACGAGCTGGTGACGGGCTTACAGCCTACTGAGTAGTTTGTGTTCTGCAAACTTCTACCCAGTCATGCATTTAATTAGGAAACTACAGAAACAAAATGGGCCTAGCACATGGGCAGCTAGGTAGCAGGCCTGCTGGGTAATGACCATGCACGGTTTGGGGAAATACCGCTTGCTTGTTTATAATATTGCATGTGTGTGGAACTGCTCTTTTTTGGAGGGTGGAGAGTTCAGCCTGTTAGAACTGTCTTCATTTTCACTCCCTGCAGTAGGATATCAAGGAATAGAAAGGTAGTCCACACAAATTACATCTAGTTGGAAGATGCGTATAAAAAGTTGTGAGTTCCCAACACTAAATATCCAGAAATGTCTAATTATGGCAGAATGCAGCAGGATTTTTGTGACTCCTACATTGTGTGAATTTATACCTAACCAGTTCCAAGCATTGATAAGAACTGTAGGGCTGGTGAGATGGCTCAGTGGTCTAAAGCACCTATTTAGAACAAGCTTATCAAAGCACAAGGACCGCAGTTCAATCCCCCAGCACCACATGCCAGCCAGCCCTGCCCCCAGGTGGGCTGAGCTGGCCACACACAAAAAAATAAATAAATAGATAAGAACTGTAGGTTAGTGTAGCCTGCCTTGTTTCCGTGTGTGGATAGGCGCAACCACCCTGCATTGAGGAGCGGTTTTGTACTCTATGCGCTAACCTTTCTTTTCTTTTAACTTTTAAAATTCAGTCTCCTTCCTGGCTGAACATACAAAAGCAGGTGCAGCCCAAGCCTCTGGCTTCAGTTCGTATAGCAAAGGCAGCGTATTGCACTTTGCAGTGGAGTTTTGCGCCATATGTCTTCCTCATTTGGGGCTACTTCCTGGGTCTAACAAGTGCCATTTGAAGTGCTCGGCTTTCCCAGTGGGTGCCTAATCCGAGCAGCAAGTTAGGCACTCTTGCAAACTGCGTTAATGCTCTCACACTGCACAGACGCCAGCTGGTGAGATAGACACTTCTGCACTGAGAGGAGTGGGCTCAGCAGCTCTCGCCAGTCGTCTGCCTGTTTCCTCCATAGATGGCAAAACCTCTTTCAGGGGGGACTTGCCTGCCAGGGCTCCTTGTGGGTTGAAAGATTATGCTTGCACTCTGCATGTGTACAAACTGTTCATGACTTTGTGTCCAGCCAGAGTTTTAAGCACCTTGGTATTTGTCTGTTAGCCTGAAATCAAGCATTTTTCCTCTTCTAGGTGTGTTGCTGTCTATCCATATACTCCCCGGAAAGAGGACGAACTGGAGCTGAGGAAGGGGGAGATGTTCTTAGTGTTTGAGCGTTGCCAGGATGGCTGGTTCAAAGGGACGTCGATGCATACCAGCAAGATTGGGGTTTTCCCTGGCAATTATGTAGCTCCAGTCACAAGGTATGGTTTTGAATAAATGGTTTACCAAGTTCCAAACAGAGAATCTTTGTTCTTTCCCAAGGCTTTCTGTCTATTCAGATTTAGCTTCACATTATAATTGCCTGTTACCTAGCCAAATTTTAAAAGCCACATGTATATCTGCTAAAATTCCTTTTAATGCTAAGATTCGTACCTTACCTTTCACAAGGATATGTATGAAATTATAGGTTTCTGCTAATATGTGTACAGATGTTGTTTCCTCTAAT